GGTAGTCGGGGTTGGGAGGGGAGGAGTCGTATCCAGGAAAACTTCCTAAGTCTCAAGGCTGTGGTGGGGGGGGGGTCGCAAAAGTGCGAACGTGACGGTTGACCCTGGATTGAAGGTTAATAGGGTTCCACTAAGGATATCCTGCTGCGCACTGTAGAACTAGTTCGATCTCACGAATCTCATCGACTGGCAAGATTCATTTACTCGTTCTTACTTACTTATCCACCTTACTCAAGGAATTGCAGGGCCAGAGAAGTGATTAAAGTCCGGGAGCGCGCAATCGTTTCGCAGAGTGCGCCACGCACTCAACTTCTATTGCGGATTTTGTGATATTTGAATACGAGTTGGCCTATCCTACCATTTGTGACCAGCGAACACTCCATGCATCACAATTGGGGCTGGAGACTGGATGAGGAGAACAGCTGAGTCAAAAGAGGGCAAAAATGATTTGCTGGAAAACAAATGAAGAAGACCGTGACTAATGCTCACCAATGCGATTGGTTCGGGAGTGGATAGAGGTTGATTCTGTTGTACTTCTCTCTGTAAAAGCTATACACATAAAGGTGTTCTTCAATACAGCTGAAGCACTGACAAGCAATGTTCACAAAACGAAACAAAGAGACTTTCATTCTTGCGAAAATTATTGCTCACTAATCAAAAAGTATTTTTGATGAATGATGTACTAGTAATGAAACAAAAAAACTGCTAGGAGTCATTAAAATCATGAAGGGCGCTGATCATGTGAGCAGTTCGTGCTCCGCCCCCACGGCAGCGTCACAATTAGGCATAACCTCTACCGTAACCTTTCACAGTATCAGCAAGGGGAGCCCGCCAATGAAACCGTGTGGAGACAGGCGCAAACCCCGCCCAAGCGATCAGGAAAGCGAGGTGTAGCGCTTTCACATCGAAAGTTGCGTTAGTTGCTTAGCCGTACTAGGAAACCGATCCGCCTCTAACCGCTCCACCTACCAGTTTGGTTGGTGATTTAGGCGAGTCCTATTGCTAGTAGCTGCACCGTTAACTTTCACTTCGAAGAGGCATTTCACTTCAACTGGCCGTGTCTTCTGATTTTC